ATTTACAGGAAAGGAGTGAGCAGAGGGTCGAGTTGTCCATTCTTGTTCTGTTTTCTCTGGCTATCTTCCTCCTGAACACCCTCTCAGACTTTCATTTGCTCGCGCTACTAAAGAGACACGTTACCAAGGAAACCAAACAATGGTGTAGCTGTATTGAAGTCCGAGTGGAAACAGTAACAGTTGGTGCGTTATGTTAGAATGAAACAAACCAGATTTAGTCAGAAATTGGGAGAAATGCGGGATAAATATGATCCCGGGAGGAAGACGGGAGTGAACACATTAACCGCAGGAAGTTTGGGTAAAAGAAAAGAAAATACAGACCCCTTATAAAGCTTTGGCGACCCCTAGTGGGAGTTAGGGACCCCCAGATTGGGAACCAGGTATGTTAAGGTCAATCAATCAATCAATGCTTATTTATATAGCCCAATATCACACATGTTACATTTGTCTCAGTGATTTTCACAGTTCGTACAAAATATCAGTATGACAATACGACACCCTCTGTCCTTAGACCCTCACATCGTACAAGGAAAAACTTCCAAAAAAGGAAAAACCCCACAGTTTAAAGGGGAAAATGGGAGAAACCTCAGGGAGAGCAACAGAGGAGGGATCCCTCTCCCAGGACGGACAGACGTGCAATAGATGCCGAGTGAAAATCGAAGAGATAATACATATTGCAGCATAGGTAGACCAAATGTTTGGAAATGCATGTTTCTATAATAAGAAGATGTAAAGTCCTCTGTTCTCATTTTTGTTCTGACGTCTGTACTCTCTCAACATTTACTGTGAGGAAATGTTCACTTCACTGGAGGTGGATTGTTTGCATGTGTGTAGAAACTTTGCTTTAAGGGTGTGAACCACACCTGGAAAAAAGGAGGGACTGCAGACGAGGAGACTTTATTCATTTTGCACCTAGTTTTAATTAATCCTCCAATCTTTGAATATTTTTTAAACAATCAAACAGAGCTTAAATTATTGATCTTTTGCTGCCTCTTAAAGAAAATGTTCATTCATACTTATCTACATTTGAAATATACAGCGGAATTGTCTGGAAGCCATTACAACTTTTTAGATCTAATTTTTTTTTTTTAAATACTAATGTGATAAATTGTCAACCAAGTCAATAATACATAGGCTACAGATTTGTAAGAACACTGACAAAGACACAGAAAATCTAGAAAAAACACATGTTTCCCCCTTCATAATTTCAGAGAGTGCATGTTTTATTTACAGTTTGGAATAAATCAAAGACATAAGCTTTAATAGCAGGGTAGTACTCTTCAGTACCTGTGTCTATTTGTTTGATGGGAAGAAACTTCACAAGATGAAATCTGATACTGGAAACAAAATGTCAGACCAGCTACATCTCAGAGCCAATCGGCGTGCAGCTTTACTGGTGTTTACCGTCGCCCTCCCTCCTTCGTCCAAGTCACGAGTCACCAGCTTCCGTATTTTCGACCAATGATTCTACTTGGTAGGCGGGATTTCAAACTCTCCCGGCATTCTGATTGGTTCCCTGCACTCTCTCTACCAGTCCTCCCAACGAGAGCAGCTCCACCTAACGGGAAGCAACGACGTCTGCTTAATCTTTCATTGGGGAAAAAGGGTTGAAAGGCGAGACGAAAACGTACAAAATCGTCCCCGGTAAGTCCTATTAACATATTGAATCACTCGAGTGACAAGTGGTGATTTTTCAGTGAGGACAGCATCGTTTTTCCCATGTATTTTCATCTATTTTACCTGGTGACGGGGCTTTTCCTCTGTCATGAGACTGAGGCAGGAGGAGGGTCAGATGTAGCATCTTGTGTGGAGGCCTCCAACTGCTATAAAGATAGCTAGCTAGGTGCTCAGTTTAATGTTAACTCATAATGTTTAATTGCAGATTTAATTACGTGTAAAAGCAATGTGTTCAGGTTTTTGTAGCGCCAAGTTATATCGGGTGCGAACTCGATACGTTGCAGCATATTTAATGAATATTCCGGTGTCATATTTCAGAGACACTTTAATTAAGTTAAGTAAAGCAACCGTTTTTTAACCGTTTACTAGTATTTGTAATTTCCGTTTGTGTAACGTTAAATGTCCTCCGAGCTCAAATGTGAAGACAAGTCCTTAATCGGTTTTATTGTTTAGCTATGAAGTGACTTTTTCTTATTATTATATATGATTTAGTCTTTATGACTAGTGTTTTTTCTAGAATTGTATGCAATGACAAAAATAAAAGTTCTGCTGGAGCAAAGAAAATAGTTCTATATCTCAGAAACTACAAGAAGCCAAATCAAATATTGAGTAGGAACTAATAACAAGTTGAATATCAAATATAGAATGTAGCACACATGTAGTTTAAAAAATAGATTTTGTAAGGAGACATTTAAAAGACACAGCCTAAGTGTGATATATATTTGTTGAACCATGTTGAGAAATGTCAAAGTTAGATCCTTATTCAAACTATATCTGTGCCATTTAAAAAAATATATATATATTTAGAGCAATCACACAGCAGTTGAAGAATATTTCTTTAACATAGTTCATACTGTGTAGTTTTTAGTAAACTCCTCTAAATGAATACCTTAAATCCCCTTTAAATTGATCCACAACAGTAAGAGACATGTTTAAAGGTTCACAGGAAGCAGTCATCCACATGTTGCTGTGCATGGGCTTGCACACCCTGTTAGTTTAACTTATTGATACTGTTGAAATATAAAGTATGTCTTTTTAATCTATTAGCTATATAATTGATATCTAGTGTCGAATGCAGACTTCATTTATGTATCTAGAAAACAGTTATGTACATATCTAATATCTAACTATATACTAAACGTGCACATCTGCTCATGAAGAAGGCACATTGTCTTTCATCCAGAGCGTAAATCCTGCTTTCATCCCCCAAGAAATGTGTCATGTGAGAGGAGGAAGGGCATGGACTCACTGTTTTCACTGTTTCATTCATTCGATTTTTTTGTCGTTAAACTTTAAACGGGTTAAATGTTGTTGTTTGAAAGCTTATTATGAAAATGTATCTACATATAAATCATTTGATGATATGTAAATAACAAGTGTACTTTGTATTGTTTGATGTATTGCTCTGTATACAGCAGGGTTATCCTTTCATCACATTGATGATAGGTCTTTTAACTGCTTCAGTTTCATTCAATGTGTTTATATTAAAAGTCAAACCTGTATATTTTCTGAAATGATTGATCAAAGTGTCTGATTTGATAAAGAAATACATCAAACATGATTAGCAATACTTCTTTGCGATGGTTATTTGTTAGTAGTTTTGACCTTTTGTTTATTTTGGTGATTATGTTTATCAACTTGACAGAATGTACGTATTGTTTAAAACATTTGATTGACCTTAAATATATACTAAACATTCAAGTGGTTCTTAGGGCTGCTCAATTAATCGTATTTTAATCGCAATTACGATATTGGCTTGCAACGATTATGAAAAGAACATAATCAAAATAAAACGTTTTTTTTTTTTATAAACATTATTTTATTGTTTTTTCAGTTGAATTATACTTAAAGTTCAGGGTAATCAACTGTTAAAAACATACTGTTCATCTTCTTTTTTTTTCAATAAATAGATGTTTTCAAAGTAAATGGATAATCGTTTTTAATAATCATGAAATCAATTAGTGACCCAAACAATCGAGATTATGATTTTTGCCATAATCGAGCAACCTACTGGTTCTTTGTCATTATTTAATAAAAGCTCACCCTCCAAATAACCACAATTAAACCTAAAAGCACTTTCTTACAAAGTATTAAACTTCCTCTCCTCATCTCATTTGAAATGTTTTGAGTTTTCTCTTTTTATCTCCTGCCCGTCAGCCCCCAGCCAAAATGATCCACAGCCTGTTCCTCATCAACTCCTCGGGGGACATTTTCCTGGAGAAGCACTGGAAGAGCGTGGTCAGCCGCTCCGTGTGCGACTACTTCTTCGAGGCCCAGGAACGAGCCACCGAACCGGAGAACGTCCCTCCGGTGATCCCCACGCCGCACCACTACCTGATCAGTGTGCTCAGGCATCGGATCTACTTTGTGGCCGTCATCCAGAGCGAGGTTCCGCCGCTGTTCGTCATCGAGTTCCTGCACAGAGTCGTCGACACCTTCCAGGTACCCGTTCATTTTCCAGTCGCTGTTTAGTTTAAATGACTGACTTTCATACCCAGTAGTAGTTTTACTCTGTGCAATGAAAATAGAGTTGAATCTAAATCTAATCCAAAATACTTTTCTTTGTCCTCAGGATTATTTTGGAGTGTGTACAGAGGCTGCGATTAAGGACAACGTGGTCGTGGTGTATGAACTCCTGGAGGAGATGCTGGATAACGGCTTCCCGCTGGCCACAGAGTCCAACATCCTCAAAGAGCTCATCAAGCCCCCCACCATCCTCCGCACAATGGTCAACACCATCACAGGTACAATCCGTTGACTGACTGCATTTCAAATTCAGAAAAGCTTTTCCAAAACAGAGTCCTAAACTTATTTGCATGGGTTTTGCATTATTTGTGTTCAATCTGACAATGTCTATGTTAAAAGGCCCCTGGCCACCTGGTTTGACTGTTATCATCAGATTGAGTGAACGTTATCAGCCTGCTACACAAACCAGTATCTTTTCTTATCTCTTCATCATGCTGATCACAGACAGGTGGAATCAATACCATCCAAAAGTCTGTATTAGCGGCGCAGATATTATTCTGTGTGATGTGCTTGTTTTTTCAGGCAGCACTAACGTCGGAGAGCAGCTCCCCACAGGCCAGCTGTCGGTGGTGCCATGGCGACGCACCGGAGTCAAATACACCAACAACGAGGCCTACTTTGACGTGGTGGAGGAGATCGATGCTATCATCGATAAATCAGGTACGCCTCTGAACAAACACGTCAGGATATGCAACACTTTGCCTCGTGTCTATTTCTCACATTGACTTCCACCCTCCTCCTCAGGCTCCACCATTACAGCAGAAATTCAGGGAGTTATCGATGCCTGTGTGAAACTGACAGGCATGCCCGACCTCACGCTGTCATTCATGGTGAGTGTCCTCTTATCATCAGAGTCTTTGTATAAATTCAACACATTTACAAACTCACAATCAGACACATGATTTACATTTGATAAATACACATGTTATTACAGTTTAAATCCAGAGACTATGACATGTATTGCTGGGTTGATCCCAATACCTTCTCTCAAGACTCTGCTGATTTGTTTTATTTCAATATCAGTTTATTACAATCCAAAACAAATCAAAAATGTTATCTAAATGACTTGATGTCGCACAATACGTCCACATTTACAAAACAGTGGTATATGCAAAAGCAATGGGATGACTTTGCTGTATGCACATATTATCTTACCTACACTTGAACCAACCTTGCCCTCTCCCAGAATCCTCGGCTGCTGGATGACGTCAGCTTTCACCCGTGTGTTCGGTTCAAGCGTTGGGAAGCTGAGCGCATCCTCTCCTTCATCCCCCCCGATGGAAACTTCCGGCTGCTCTCGTACCACGTCAGCTCCCAGAAGTCAGTGATTTTCACACCCTTCAGCATAATTATAATCCCTGCTTTTTTTTCCAATAGTTGCTCCAATATTAGAATATCACAAAATGTAAACAACACATATGACTGGAGTGTGATTGCAGTTGTTTGTTGTCCTCGTCTCCTCCAGCCTGGTGGCCATCCCGGTGTACGTGAAGCACAACATCAGCTTCAGAGAGGGCAGCTCTCAGGGCCGCTTCGACCTGACTCTGGGCCCCAAGCAGACCATGGGCAAGTCGGTGGAGGCGGTGCTCGTCACCAGCCAGCTGCCCCGCGGCGTCCTGACCGCAAACCTCAACCCCTCCCAGGGAACATACACCTTCGACCCCGTCACCAAGGTACTGAGGAACTGCTTCTGAGTGTGTGTTTATACGCCTAAAGGAAGGACGAAGGGAACGTGTGTATGAACAGGAAGGTGCAGACGTCTCAAAAAGCCTGTGACGAATGCTTTCTGCCTAGCTCTGAACCAGTCATTAAGTCACAATATGGGACCGTTCCTCAATCGCCAAACTCAACTTTATTGTCAATCTTTCAATTTGTGTGTACAGACAAGAGAGATCGAAATACCGTTTCCCACAATCCCGAATACAAAAAATAAAAATAAATATATATACACAATCAACAGACACATTTATACTAATTGTCGAAAAATTCAGTTTTACAATACCGCTCCAGGACTAAAAAGGCAACCATTTGATTTGATGCATATTTCCTCCAAGTTGTAGTGTTCTCATACTGCCATTTGAATGTTGTCTTTATTTTCGTCCAGATGTTGTCATGGGATGTTGGAAAGATCAACCCACAGAAGCTCCCCAGCCTGAAGGGCACCATGAGTCTGCAGGCCGGGGCCTCCAAACCCGACGAGAACCCCACCATCAACATCCAGCTGAAGATCCAACAGATGGCCATCTCAGGTACACGCACGCACACGCACACGCACAGAAATATTTTTAATTATTGAGATTAAAAACCAGTATCCATGTTGTTTCAGAGAGTTAGATTACTACGGGAAGAGTAACACATTAGATGTGTTCAAGGCCAGGCATTGGAACATTAGTTAGTCATTAGTTTAACAAGGTGGAATAAAGTATAAACATGATCAAATAAAAACAACAACCCGTAGAAAAGACATACATGTATCACAAGTAGTACACAATATAAAATATTCATTAAAATGTTCTATAAATACTGCAGCAACAGAAATATAGATGTATACTACAGTAGCAGAGACATATGTACATAGGATGTTATATACATTACAAATGTGACACATTATTGTAACAAATAATGAATTGTGATTACACACTGAATACCATACATGAGGATCATTTAACCTCAGCCCCCCCCCCACATGAGAAGCTTCCTTCACATCAGCTGATAACCACCTGACTGTCAGCATGTGACACTGCGGCCACTAGAGGGGGCCAAAGGCATGAATACACCTCACATGACCTCAAAGTACTCTATGAGCCGGTTCTGATACTCATGAGTGCTACTTTTATTCATTCATTGTTTTCACCTTATGTGATTCGCATAAAAAAAACGTTAGGTAATATGCAAAGCCATATTGCTAACAAACATTTGCTAAACAAATTATTTCACAACATGGAAAGCAATAGGAAAAGCATGCATTTAGTGCAATTAGTATATCGTTTTCTGAGTTTAAAAAAGAATTACTTCAATTGAGGCAATGGAAGGTGTGATTTGCAGCCGGTTCCTACTCCATCTGGCATATAGATAGGTTGCATCCCGCCAAAATTGCGCAATAATGAAACTATTTTGAGTGTACCTTCAACATATGCATGCCTTGTTAAACCTGAACATGCATTCTCTATTTATATATACATTTGATGCATTTGTTTTTTAATATAGTAGGGAAACGAAAACCAAAATAAAGTCTATAGAGAGGCGAAGTCCCGCCCATCTACTTCTGACCCATGGAACCTTATTTCGAAAAATGAAGTATTGAAGTCAATGGGGAGAGAAAAATTATCTTTCGATCCCGTTTGAATTGTGCCATGAATTACACATATGATGTTTGTCAATCTTATACAATCATTTCCATGTCAAAAAAGTCACAGTTTGTGGTAAAACTGTTGAAATATAAGACTATGAAAAATACGTAACTAACTACAATCCCGGTCCCGCATGCTGGCTCTTACGGAACCGACTCCCTTGTGTGTATGTACAGCTTTCTACATACCCAGACTTGGAGTGATTTTCACCTCTTTTAATACTTTTCACCTCATTCTGAAAGAAAGAAGTGAAATGTGCCAACGTGACGGCCGTCTTGGTGTGTGGTGCGAGACGGGAGATGTAGGTCATTGAGCGGTTTCACACAAATAAAGTGTTACTTCACAGTTTTACGAAACATTTTTATTTTTTGACTTGCAAAATGATCTTTTAAATTGACAAACATCGTATGTGTAATTCGTGGCACAATTCAAACGGGATCGAGAGATAATCTTTCTCTCTCCATTGACTTCAATACATACTCTTTCTGAAATAAGGTCCCATGGAGCCCCCCCGGAAAGGGAGGGACTTCGCCTCTCTATCAAGATTCTGAAAATGCCTTCAGAACAGTCATGTGTGCTAAACAACCCTCTGGTGTTTTACTTTGATATATTTCCAAGAAAATGTGATATTTCCCAGTGGAGGAAAAACCTAATAAAGACATCTCTGTAGTTGTTGTGAAAAAATAAATCGCATATCTGGTAAATCCAAAATGAGCCACCCGCCATCCTTAAACATTCAAACTAGACTTGTCCAGTAAGTGCAAATCATTTTGTATTGAGAAATGTAAATGGAAAAACTATATTTGATATCCTCCTGCAGGGCTGAAGGTGAACCGACTGGACATGTACGGTGAGAAGTACAAACCCTTCAAAGGCATCAAATACATGACGAAGGCTGGCAAGTTCCAGGTGCGGACATGAAGACTGCTGCTCTTTGACTACTGGACCAAACCACCTGGAGACTGACGGGGGGGTGTGATGGGGGAGTTGGTACATTCCCTGTGTATATGCATTTCAGGATTTGACAGATGGGAGGCTCCATGTAGCAGCTAAGATGGACCGTTGCTCAAAGTCTGTTGAAGTGAAAGTGCTTTAAGTAGTGAGTCAACATGAGATAAACATTTCCATCGAACCCCGATCATCCTAATTTATACTTCTCTACTTTACCGCTTTTGTCCCCTGTTCATTTTTATCCTGAGCCCAAACCAAACCCAAGCAGTTACATGAGACGTTTGTTTTTTAATACAGGCTTCTTCAAGTTCAAACATTTCAAACTCTAACATACAAACAGGGGTCTCTCTCTCTCTCTCTCTCTCTCTCTCTCTCTCTCTCTCTCTCTCTCTCTCTCTCTCCGTCTGTCTCTCTTCCCCCCATCTGATGCTGTTCTGTTATGGCTGTAGGCATTAGGTTTAAAAGGCCTTAAATTAAAGGATTTCATTTATTTATGGCATGTTCCTGGGGATAAATGTGTGTAAAAGATATATTGCATATTGGACCAATAGAATATCAAAATAGAGCCTCCCCTTTCATACATTGAGAAATCATGAGGTTAATAGTATGACAGAAAGCTAGTATTTTCTGTTCGATGAATCAATAGCAGTGTGTTTGTGTATAAATAAATCATGAAATGCACAAAGTATTTGACTTTAACGTCTAATGAAACTGCTGAAGAGACACATTTCTATATAAAATTACAGAACTCTAATTTTTACATTCAGTTTACCGATGCGTTTCCACTGGTTCTCAATTATGTCATTTTGTTGCACCTATTCTTCCTCACTGTTATATCTTTCTTCTGGCAGCACAGTTGGCCCCACCTACTGCTTATCTCCACAGACCAACAGTTTGTGGATTAAGAACCATAACAAGTAGATGTATTCAAAGAAAATACATTATTTGCCGATTTTAAGGACATTTGGAAATGTTGATACATAATAATGGAAGCCTGACCATTGTCTAACAACACATTATAGTACGTCAAACTAAGTCAAGACACTAGTTGTATTTGATTGGGTGCTGTAACAGCGAGTACTGTAAGTTCCTTCCTATAAATCATTCGGACGCTTCTAGTCACATGACCTTGCTTTATTTCCCCCAAAAACGTGCTCCTTATTTTTTATACGTTTCTATGTTACTTGTTTGCAACCCACCAATGACACTTTGAAATATTTCTCATCGGCCTGTCCTTTACATTTGACTGATTCCTTTTGTATTTGCCTTTTTGTTTGCTTTTCTGTTTGTTCGTTACTGTAATGATGAGTCTGCCGCACTGGAGTCAGAACACTGAAATAGGAAGTCTTTGTCCGTCCTCCCATCACGCGCTTTCACATCTGCCGGTTCTCACATCTCCTTTAACGCAAGTGAGACTGTTAGAGGTGTTTGTTACCATGCTGATTTCTGGGAGATCTTCAGGTACACCTGTGTTATTCTATTATTTATTAAACAAAACAAAATGGCTACTTTCTAGAGTAATGTCTTGTGTGTCTTACTATCATACAACCTGAATGAAAAGCTTTAACTCTAAATCTTTTGTATTGAACCACATTAAGATAATATCAGTTCTTGTCCTCAACAAGTAGAGATATGTGGCCGTTAGAAATAGTTTAGATAAGGGGTGTCAAACTCAATTTCATCACGGGCCACATTCGCATTATGGTTGCACTCAAAGTGCTGGTTGTAACTTTAAGACTAAATAAAAATACATATATAAATATATATAAAATAATGTATTATATTACATTATTGCCTCTGCATTGGATTATTATCGGAAAAGGTAATAACTTCATAATTTACTACGTCTGAAAGCCGAAGTCTAGGGCAAATAATCGCAAGTCTCTTCAGTGAGAATGTCACAAAATGAAGAAAAGCCAAATTATGGAAAAGCAAAGATAAAAAAATTAAAAACAATTCTGAGAAAAAAGTCAAATTTGAGATGCATTGTGGGACATGTAGTTTATGGGCAACGTGCTTCTGTAAATAGGCATGTAACTGTATAATAAACATATTATATTCTTTGCAAGCTCTTGTGGGGCCACAGAAAATGAAGTCGCGGTCCGGATTTGGCCCCCGGGCCTTGAGTTTGACACCCCTGTTTTAGATCCTGTGAATTCCCTGCTTAAAACTCTGGTCCAAATGATATCCCAAACATATTTTAATAATGAGCAGGTACCTCAGAAGAAATGTTGACGGTTTTGAATTTTGTGTTTGCAGGATTTTGTTTGTGTGTTTGTTTAACAGCCTCCAATGGAGTGTTAAAATGGTGTAAAAATAAAGATTGATGTGTTATAACTGAGTCATGATAACACTTATTATTGAATGTGGCTCATACTGGGAAATGATTGTGTTGCCTTTCATGAATTGCTTTGGAAACTATCACTTTTTTTTTGTTTTAGTTCTCAATGTTTGAAACAACATTTTAGATTTACAGTGGGGCAAAAAAGTATTTAGTCAGCCACCAATTGTGCAAGCTCTCCCACTTAAAAAGATGAGAGAGGCCTGTAATTTTCATCCTATGGTACACTTCAACTGTGAGAGACAAAATGGGCGGAAATAATCCAGGAAATCACATTGTAGGATTTTTAATGAATTAATTGGTAAATTCCTCTGTAAAATAAGTATTTGGTCACCTACAAACAAACAAGATTTCTGGCTCTCACAGACCTGTAACTTCTTCTTTAAGAGCCTCCTCTGTCCTCCACTTGTTAACTGTATTAATGGCACCTGTTTGAACTCGTTATCAGTATAAAAGACACCTGTCCACAACCTCAAACAGTCACACTCCAAACTCCACTATGGCCAAGACCAAAGAGCTGTCAAAGGACACCAGAAACAAAATTGTAGACCTGCACCAGGCTGGGAAGACTGAATCTGCAATAGGTAAGCAGCTTGGTGTGAAGAAATCAACTGTGGGAGCAATTATTAGAAAATGGAAGACATACAAGACCACTGATAATCTCCCTCGATCTGGGGCT